CGAAGCAATATGCATGTTAGTACCATGAAAGGTAATTTAATGTACCTTTAGTGCCTCTTTTTGTTCAGTTTTGTTGTTGGGCATAAATTTGAGTTACACTGACAAATGTGCAAACGTGCATCTTAACTATCAAGAAGAGCTCGAAGTATTGTAGGGTTCGAGATACTGGTGGGTTGAATTACCGAAAAGGTGAACATATACACATCCGGTGCAAAATTTCACTGTTGACAAAGTTTCAGCTTGACTGTTCTAACACACGTTCCTGACTTGGGTCTCGGGTTGCGCTTTAAGCTGGAGTATATGTGCTGTACTCTTTAAGATTTGTTTAATCTATTATGGAACTCTTTGTTTTTCCAGTCACTAGTTGCTTTCGCTAAGCTCAAGAGACAGATTCTCTTATGTCAACCGGAAGCCAAGTCCCCAAAGGATTTCACGGACAGTTCGTTATTCTGGGTCAATCAGGAATTCGCAGTGATGTAAGTTGGAAAGTTACAGAGTCGAACAAGATTCGATGTCAAGTGTTTGTTGGGCCGAGTCATTACACGACCCGAACCAAACCTCCGTCGTCATCACTCGTCATCACTCGTCATCGGAATGAGGCGCAGTTCGCACCGGAAAATACACGTTGTCAAGTCGTGATTGTTTCCCGTTTTCTTTTCTTTTCTTTTCTTCTTTTTTTTTTTGCTGATTGCTTAAGAAGTGATGCCAGTTGTTTTCTTTCCTCAGCAATCACAACTCTTCCAAAGAAAACCAAACTCCTTAGATAGGAGTGATGTTCAATTGAGTGACGGTTGCTATTTCATTTTTTTTTCTAGAAAAAATAGCAAAGTCCAGAAAAGAGGTAAAGTGAATCTCATAGGCCGCCTACAGCTGTCGACAGAGAAAGCAAAACAAGAGGAGAATGATGGTATTGTCGCGCTGAGAATACTTAGAATACAGGTAAGCACAGTGTACGTATGTGGTAGAGTGGACATAAACGTTTCATTGTTTGCAGTTTATACAGTGTTTGTGCGGCCAGGACCGCGGATCAGTTAAACCTGGTTTAGTCAGTAGAGCAAGGGGTGTGTGTGAGGAAGAGGTCGAACTGAGAAATGAAGGAAAGAAGGGAGACATGAAAGAAGAAGTGAAGGAAGGAATAAAGAAACACATAGTGCATGCGAAAAGAAAGGTTTTATTTTAAGCGAAACTTAGCTAACGCCAGTTGTCACTCGAAACAGCTTAATTCCTTGAGTAGGCAGGATTTTGATTTTCTATGTTTCCGCTTTGTAGGAAGCGATTGTGAAGATCATGAAAATGAGAAAGAGAATAACAAACGCCGCTCTACAGACAGAATTGGTTGAAATTCTTAAAAACATGTTCATCCCCCAAAAGAAGATGATAAAGGAACAGATCGAGTGGCTTATAGATCACAAGTATCTCCGACGAGATGAGGAGGACATAAACACATTCTTATACGTGGTATAACCACGGATGGAGAAAATGTTTTCAGACTGTCCAACTTCAAGTCCATCTCATGCTTAAAGCCACCGTTCACCTTGACCTACGGTTGACTTAAAGACCACTGGTCAAAAGGAATACAGGTTTTAAATTAAGATTGCTGTCCGGCTGTTCCAAGATCTTACCTTTGGAGATCTCTTTTTTTTGTTTGTTTGTTTGTTTTTTTTTTTCATAGTTTTATCTCTTAAGAAAGTACAGGAATAGGCGGTCTTGGAGAAGCCCGATGCGTATGTTACTATAAGGAAAAGTGTGAATCCTATGATGCAAACATGTTTATTTATTTTCATGCAAATGACATTCTCTGTCGCAGGATAGATTTTGCTCTTGGCCGCATTTTACAAATGAAAGGAGATTGTAAACTGGCAGTGGCCTTTTGCCATATGCTTGGAGAAATTTAGTTGAAATACTCAGTTTTCCATAATGTCTTCCAACACTATTTCAAAAAGTAAATGATATGATTTTTCTATTCTTTTTAGGGAATCTTAAATAATAAAAACATTCACGACAAGTGAAAAACGAACAACAAACAAACAAAAAAACAAAGGGTGTCGGTGTTGTTTATTGAGAAGGAGTTTACTCTGATCTACAAGTCAATACACCGAATTGAAATATGGCGTCCAATTTGAATTACCATTGTTCTGGACTTACTAGCCTCGTCTTCACGTAGAAAACACAAAAGCATTATCACGTGTGAGAGGCTAGTAAGTCCAGAACAATGGCAGTTCAAATTGGACGCCATATTTCGATTCGGTGTATGCCATTATTTTCCTGTAATTAACAGAAAGGAAACCTCAGATACCGTGTAACTCGATGGAGTAGGAAAAAAAAAACAAACAAACAAATAAGTAAATAAAAACATGAGAGAAAGTAGAAGACCAATCTGTAAAGACGATGGGTCATTTATGAAGAAAAGAGTTTTCGTGAAGTTTATGAAAATAAAAAGCATTTTCGGAAAGTTATTGTTGATGTGTTTTACTTCACCAGTCGAGATTCTTGTCCATTTGTTTCATTAATTCTCGCAAGTCAACAGAATTCCATTCTGGTACTTTGCAGGTTATAATGAGACTTAATGCATTTTGGTTCACAAAAAGACGTTACTAAGCTTTTTCCACGGGCCTTAGTAGAATGATGTCATAAAATTTTTTAGGGGTAACAGTTAGAAAAAATTAAGTGTTTTGTTTTTTATCATCTGATGATTCTTCACTCCAGAAGAAAAAGAAAAAAACACACGGCAAAATGAATCATGAACTGGTATAATCACGGGAAGGCCCTGTCGACGGCGGTAAGTTTTGACTGAGATTTCTCCAGAGCGCAAAAGTGTTCAAAATGTTCACAATTGATGAGAACAAAAGAATCGTAGGCTATTCCGTAGTTTCGCAATTGGAATGGCATTTTTCGCGGCAAGTAATTCATGGCAGTCTCCATATAGACTCCCTGTTACCCAGTCTCCATATAGACTCCCTGTTACCCATGTACCCTGTGTACCCTGTGTACCCTGTGTACCCTGTGTACCCTGTGTACCCTGTGTACCCTTGTGTACCCTGTGTACCCTGTGTACCCTGTGTACCT